TGATGGTGCCTATCATGGTACTAGGAAAGCCGACATCCACAAATAACTACGTATTTTTAAATTGAAAACAAGGTAAAATAGGTTTAACAGTAATAACCCTCATAAATAACCTATAATGAAATACCACAACTCAATAGAGAATCCATAAAAATTCTGGTGACACTGAGTACATGAGCATCTAAATGACAATACAGTCTAACTGCTAAAAACAATTGTTTAGAAGGATAGAACATTGCTAAAATAAAATAAAAGAAGGAGAGTCGAGATCTACGGATGCCAAGGCAGCTACCTCAATAGTCTCCGACCATATGCAACTCCAAATCTAGCAACCGTCGTGTCCAGAAATACCTGGATCAACACACGAAGTGTAGAGTGTAGTATGAGTACAACCGACCCAATGTACTCAATAAGTAACAGAACTAACCTTGGGCTGAAAGCAGTGACGAGCTCAAAAAGGTACAGTCCAAATCCAGATTATAACAGTACAAATATGAAAGGAAAAATGACTGTAATACCTCAGAGAAAACTCATAATCAATTGTACACAGTACATAAATGTTGACATGCTTTGAAGTTTAATAGTTTAAGCTCAACACGGATAAAATATGCCAAATATGATTGATATGAGGAATGTTACATCTCTATATCTACATGTCACATGTAATGCATCACAATGATAACCTCATATACTCACACTCTCAGAGTACTCAATCTGACTGTCTCAACTCTCACTCATCACACTCAGTCACTCAGCACTGTACGGTACCTACGCTCACTGTTGGTATGTCAGGCTCCGGAGGGGCGGATCCTGCCCAAGCGTTAATAAAACCTGTTGTGACGCACATCCTGATCCCATCATGAATCAATAATACCTGTTGTGGCGTGCAACCCGATCCCATCATGTATCAATAAAACTTGTTGCGGTGTGCAACCCGATCCTATCAATCTCACTCACAATCAGGCCCTCGGCTTACTCAGTCATTAATCTCTCCAGTCTCTCGGGCTCACAACACTCATGTCAATCAACCCAAAACAATTATACATGATGTAACGATAAATGGTAACAGAGACTGAGATATGATATACAAATGATGAATGTGACTGAGTACATAATTGCAATTTAAGAAAATAACTGAACAACAAATGAACGACCTCTCTGGGTCCCAACAGTACCAGCATATAGCCTACGCATGATTTCTAACATGAATTACAACTCAATTTCTCTAACACATAGAGAATACATGAATAATATCAAGATTTGATAAATACACAGCTTCACAGAATCAACCGAGTCAGATTTACTATGGTGCACGCCCACACGCCCGTCACCTAGTATGTGTGTCACCCCAACACCAACCACATACCACATATTTCAAGGATTCATACCCTCAGAATAAAGTTTATAAGTGCTACTTACCTCAAACCGCGCAAATATCTACTCCAACAAGTCTTTGCCTCGTGAATCGGCCACCGAACAACAAAAGTAAAATTAACAAAACTAGGTTATTTAACAAAAGTAAAAAAGTCAACCCAAAAAGTGAACTCCGGGTCCACGTCTTATAATTTAACAAAATTAACAAAATTCGAACACCCATTCAACCACGAGTCCACCCTTACCAAAATTACTCAATTCCGACCTCAACTCGACCTTCAAATCCTTGAATTATAGTTTATGAAATTTCTACAATTTACCCTAATTTTTCTAACCCAAAATGCTTATTAAATGGTAAACCCAATAATAGATTCATGTATATTAACCAAATCCGAGTTAGAATCACTTACCCCAATCAATTCCTTGAAAATCCCTCCAAGAATCGCCTCAATCCGAGCTCCCAAAGTCCAAATATGAAATAATACACTAACCCTTATTTTTGAAATCTTATATTCTGCCCAGATGCTCCTCTTTGCGATTGCGGAAAGTCCCTCGCGATCGCGAAGAGTAAAAATTGTGCTGCCCTCAAAGTACTCTTCGCAAACGCGAACAAACCATCGCAAACGCGATTCACAGACTCATCAACCTACGCGATCGCGGACCCCTTCATGTGATCGCGAAAAACAAATCGCGTGGACTCTCAGCCTCCTCCTATCTTCTTCGCGAACATGACCCAACACATGCATTCGCGATTCATAAAATGCCAAAGTTCCGCGATCACAGACCTTTTCTCGCGATCGCAAAGAAAAGTTTTTCCCAATCACCCAATCAACTCTTCGCGATTGCGGACTTCCACTCGCGATTGCGTATAAGCAAACCACCAACTGTCATGACAACAACTTTAGCAAACCTTCTAAGTCAAATTGTAATCCGTTAACCATCCGAAATCCACCCAGGGTCCCCGGGACATCAACTAAACATACCAACAAGTCCTAAAACATCATACGAACTCTCTCGAAGCCTCAAATAACATCAATCAACGCTAAAATCATGAATCACACATCAATTCTAGCTTAATGAACTTGTGAACTTCTAACTTCCAAAACTAATGCCGAAACATATCAAACCAACTCCGATTAACCTAAAATTTTACACGCAATTCATAAATGACACAAACGGACCTATTCTAACTTCCGGAACCACAATTCGAGTCCGGTAACAATAAATTCAACTCTCGGTCAAACCTCTCAACTCTCTAAACTTCAACTTTTTCAACTTTTGCCAATTCAAGCCAAAATCACCTACGGACCTCCAAATCAATATCCGGACATACTTCTAAGTCCAAAATTATCATACGGATCTAGTGAAACTATCAAAACTCCATTTCAGAGTCTTTTACTCACAAGTCAATATCCGGTCAACTCTTTCAACTTAGGCTTCCAACCTTGGACTAAATATTCCAGTTCATTCCGAAATATCCCCAGATCAAAACAACCACCCGGCAAGGTAAATAACAACAAACAAGCACATAATAGTTAATAAATGGGGGAATAAGGCTATAATACTTAAAATGATCGGCCGGGTCGTTACACTAATCCTTTTACAAAGGCGATATCTAGAGACCTTTTTGAGAAATATGTTATGGCTCTAGGTTTGCGTAGGATATGACCATCTTTATGTATTGTAAAATGACTTAATTATTATAATATTCTCATCAATATTTGGCTCTTGAATTTATGTTCATATCTAGTATGCATGTGATGATATTTTGTTGATAAGGTATGTTGAACAAGTTGCGAGATTGGCTCTCTCACACGAGCAATTGCCTCTTATGTTAAGAATCGTGAAGAGATAAGATCATATGGAACCTTGGATAATGCGAGGTTATATTTGCTCGTAAATTTCGCTCTTGACAACCAGTCAGACTTATGAATTTTTCCATTCGATTATGACTTGTATTGTAAGTCAGATGCGAGTTTCTCCAAAAAGTTAGATTTGAGGATTATTGAAGTAAGAAACTCGGGAGAAACTCGGGTTAGACATTTGAAGGTGTCTAGACCAAGATTTGTACGGTGTTGAATGATTAAAAGAATAATATACATGCGCCAATATCAGGTGAGAATATCGTAACATGTGTTTCATACCATGTGTTCTATCGACCAGCGGGATAATGAAAAAATGAATCCGTGCTTCTTCATTATGTGAGATCCTAAAGAAGTTATATTAACTTTTATTGAAATACACTTTGACCTTTTACTGTCTCTTGAAATGCCAATCAATGTTGCTACTTTAGCATGTCACTAATAGCCATGAGTGATTCCGCAATGCAGTGCATGTTTAGGAAAGCAGTTGATTTGGAATGAAAAGATTCGAGTAGAAAGGGAAGACAACTAAAAATTTAGTAATTTAACTTGTATCCATAGGTCGACCATTACACTTACCAGGAGGTTATCAAATGTAGTTATGGATACAAAGTTAAACATGAACTCAAGTTCACCTCTTTCGAGGATGAGGGATTAGATAAATAGCTACTGGAATAGCATATGATGTCTGAGATATTGCGAGTAATAAGATCCTCATGTTGGTAATAAATCCCTTCCGCATGTGATTGAATTTCTACATGGAGCTATTAAACTACCTTAAAAGGTTAAAAATATTATAGCTCTCGAGCTTGCAGGTCGCACGAACTATTTGCCAGTATGAATTACGTGTGTTATTGTCATGGTACTAGTTTGGGTCAAGTCCACCATGTGGATATTGGGTTTGGGTCGCCCATATGGACTGACACGACCTATTTTAAAGGAGATATGTTTAAAGAAAGTTACCTAGTGAAGGTTTAACTCCTAAAAATAAAACTACCGCACGTTGCAAAAAAAAAAAGCAGGGGCGTGGGATGAAATTATCTAATCGGTAGTTTTTTCTCTCACAACTTCTCTTCTCTATATAATCAAGGCTCACCTTTGACAGATATTTGATTCTGTACAATTCTCCCTAAAAAGAAAGAAACATACCAAAAGAAAAAGAAGGCATCTAGTTTGTGAAACATTATTTCGTTTCAAAGAGACGAAGTCGGACTTGAGCAATTGATCGAAGCAGGTTCTGCAAAACTTCTGCTAGTGTTAACACGTACACAAATTCAATGTTCCTGTTACTCGATTTTGTGTGACACATTAGTACAATTAGAAGATAATACTCTAATCTATATACTTAATTACTCTTTTTCAAATGCCTAACAGTTACCTCAACGGAAATAAATTCTTCAAAATAAAAATGGATAAAATCTTACCTAAGACCAACAACGTCTTAAGAACAATTTAATCGGTTAGGTATATTATTAATTGAAAAACAATTATTACAGAGACTGATTTAAAAGTACTATTTTCAACTTTGCATGTCAAAAAGCTAAAAAAGATTTAATAAAAATATATATAAACTTTTAAAAAAAAAAGATTTGGGCCTCTAGTTGCCCCTAATCAAGGGATAAATTAAACTATTAATTAAAGAGTTAAAGAAAAAATAAAATGTGGCAGTTTATTTATAACAAATTATAAAAAAGTGATAGGAGTAAAATAAAAGAAACTGAAAGAAGCTGTATTTTGATTCATACTCCCATTTAGGAATTTCTGAAAAGTATTTTCCAAGGTTTATCTTAAAATCATTTTGGTAAGTAATTTTGCCACATCCATAAACAAAGCCAAAATCGTCGTGGCAGTGTTTGGATCATCCAAAATTAATATCCGCCATCTCCCAAAGTTGCGGTGGTAGCAGCCATGTTTAAACCTTCAAAAACCACTGCACTTCTGCCGGAAAATCGTTGCTGAGCTATGGCTACGGCGGCGCAATTCTCCTATATTACCGTCAATTCACCCAACTTCTATCCTAGCGCTAATAAACGGTTCGCATTTTCCCGCCAATTGAAAGATGGTGCGAAATTCTATACTGATGTCACCAGCTCCAGACGTAAACTCAAATTGCTCTCTGTAGTTTGTAGCAATTCGAGTCCTTCTTCTGATAGTATAAGGTATCATTTCAACTCGTCTTTTGAAATTAGATGCTTCTGTTGGTTTAGATTTTGTTATAATTGCGAGGATTATAACAAGGAAGGATATTAATTACCTTGTCTCTTTTCTGAAAAGCAAAAATTCTAAAACTAACACTCTCTCCATTTCAATTTATGTGTAACCTATTTCCTTTTTAGTTAGTTTCCGAAAATAATGAATCCCTTCCTACTAAGAAAACTCGTAATTTTGGGTTCCAATATGAGAAGCTCTTGCAACCACAAAAATGATATGACATGCTTAATACCACAAGTTTCAAAAGACTTCATTTTTTCCCCCTTAAACTCTCTAGTTCGCATAAATTGAAACAGATGTATCACTTAGTATTAACTTCATTAGTTACAGTTAGTAACCTGTTTATTGTGATGTGTGTATCATATCACTAGCGAATGCACAAGAGTAAATAGAGCTTCTTTTATAAATAGTAGACTCTTCCACTCATTGCTTATCATTTGCTAGATTGTGAAGAAGAGTTTGGTCATGAATCTAGTCTGTTAGATGCAGGGAATGAGTATCTTGTGCTTTCAGAATGTGACGTGCAAATGCCATAGAGCATATAGTATAAACAAAAGTTCCACATGTTAGTGCTACATTCTTTTTTATTTCTTTTCCAATTCAAAAGCAATCTGCTTAAAGATCTCTTTTTGGTACATATTCCCTTTAATTTACAAGAATTTAACTCCAAAATCATTTGACATGTAGGCTAAATCTATCCAAAATAAATACCTGCAATTTATGTGAATGCTGATTTTAAGTTGGTGAGTTATAGGTTACGCATGCACAATGTCATGCCTTGTATATAAATCATAATTGTTAGCTTATTGCAAGCACCAAGTTGTATCTGGGTATTGGCTTGTTTGGTTGCTTCTTCACTTCTCGGTTGGAATGGAGTTTACCGTTTTGTTTATTTTGGCTAATTCCAATATTATAGATGTGTTTATGACATCTGTTAAGAATCTATTTAGTTAGAACAGAAATATGCTGCTGGCAAAGCAGAGCGTAACATATGAAGCAACTTATAACTAATCACACAACTTTTGGTTGGGGGAAACATTAGTTTGTTCAATATAAACCTCAGGGTAAATATCCTCCTCGCCCCCCTGGTAACTTCAATAAAATTACTTTAATTATCAAAAATGGAAAGAAGTCTCAGGGTATAGATGTATTAGCTACTTAGGCGTTCCTTCTAGTGGTAGTTTAGGGTCAACCATAATCTTCCTTTCCAATGTCTCAAATGAATCATTAGAAATGGAATTCCATTGAGAGAAAGTTTGTTACAAATACGTGTGTATCTCTGTAGCAGAACTTGTTTGGAGGAAGTTCACTTATTAAAAGGTTATTATTCAGGCCTTGTTTTGCTGATGGAGAAACAGAGAAGAACTTGCTGCTCCACAAGAGCATCAATGCTGTGGCTCAAATCAAGAGACGATAATAAGAATATGAAATTGATATGCTTAGGTCATGATTTTTTCTTGTAGCTGAATGATAGGAATAAGTGTTATTGTTGTTCTTTTAAGACATAGTGTTGTGTGCATTAAGCTCCTCATATTACAGATTCAACCATAACAAGTCTGCTTCTTTCCGAGTTTCTGACAGCTGTTCGGAATGTGCTGAGCTTAGTTTTAACTTTTAGTGTGGATGTGTTATCTGTACATGTACCCCCAATTTCAGACTCATTTAGTATGATATCAGGTTCTCTTTTAAAGTGAAGAAACCTTACAATATTGGTTTTATTTGTTATTTAGTTCCACAGCCAAGATAAGAAGTGAAGTTCTTACTCCCTTTCGGTCTGTTCGGATGTTCTTCTATCTCGCTTTCATTGCAAGTGGTGGTCTTGGAGGACTTATTGCCTCTACACGACTAATTGCGGCATTGGCCAATTCATCAAGAGCAGCTGAAGTTCCTGAGATCCTAAAAGGCCTTGGCATAGACCTCGGCGCAGTCTCTGTATTTGCTTTTCTGTATTATAGGGAGAATAGAGCAAAGAATGCTCAGGTGGCAAGATTAGTAAGAGAAGAAAATCTTGCAAATCTTAAGCTTCGTGTGGATGAGAAGAAAATCGTTCCCCTGAGTGCTTTCAGAGGAATTGCTCGTTTGGTCATCCTTGCTGGCCCTTCGGCTTTCATTTCAGAATGTTTCAGACTCAGCGAACCATTTACCGATGGCCTTCTTGAAAGAGGGGTGCTTGTGGTCCCTTTTGCAACTGATGGAATTTCTCCTAGTTTTGAGTTTGAAGAGAATGAAGAACTTGAGGAGAAGATATCCAGAAGAAAAAGGCTGTGGCAGCTTGCTCCTCTTTATGCCACTGAGTGGACCAAGTAAGTGTGTTATCAACAAAACGGAACGTTGTCTAACTTGAAACTGTTTCTTCTCTCACTTGTGCTGCTGACATTAACGATAATTACATTGACATTAAGAAGTGAAAACAAAGATACTCATATTTGGCTCACCCGTGATAGGTGGATAGATGAACAAAAGAAACTAGCCAACGTCTCTCCTGAATCTCCAGTGTAAGTATTCTACAACTTTAGTAGTATATGTGGTTTTTTAAAAGATAGATCGGCTGATTGACTTCTTTGTGGGGTGTGTCAAATATGAAAAATGTTAGCATTAGCGTGTTCAGCAAAATGTACGTTTATCATGGTTTTACTTGAATCTGTTAACAAATCTTGATGAAATATGAGTCTAGCCATTATCATAAACGAGTTTACTAAATGTAAGATGTCGATTGACTTTTTTGCAATTTTTATCATGTGCAGGTATTTATCTTTACGCCTGGATGGCCGTGTGCGTGGCAGCGGTGTTGGTTATCCTCCTTGGAATGCTTTTGTAATGCAATTGCCACCAGTAAAGGGAATTTGGTCTGGTCTTCTTGATGGCATGGATGGAAGAGTTCTTTAAGTTATGAGATCAGATATTCTCTTCTTTTCCGTTTTTATTTACTGAAGAATTAGATTAAATAATGTTGACAATATAGTTTTTTTCCCTCTCAAATTCATCATTATAGTATTCACCAATCTTTCATTTGCTTTAGTTTACTTCTTTCTTCCCTTTTGTTTTCTTTGTCGGTAAGGTTGACTTCCTGTGTCTCCAGGCCATGGTGTTGCTTAACGAAGTCTATAATGGAAGATGAGAATGTGAAATTAGGTACTGTAGTTTCCAGTATTACGTTCATTTGATAGGAAAGCTGTCTATTGATATGTAAAATAGAAGTCCTCAAGTTTTTCATATTTCCATAGATCATTGCTGTCGTCAATATATCTGATCAAACACGTTCATACATATGTATTTTCCGGAATGAATTATATGTTTGCTTCCATAACAAGATTGTGTCCTGGCAAATTTCGAGTACTTGCTAATTCGTTCTCTATCTTCTCACAGTGGAACAAATCTTTTCGATTGCTGGTCGGAGAACTACCATAGGAACAAGAGGCGTCAATTTGATAAGCCAAAAGACAGGGTCGAGAATCTGTGTATAGATCTCATACTCTACGATTGCAATTGAGCCAGAATTCATTTCCTCGCTTCGGATTCTGAACCATGATTCAAACTGTGATGTCTGATCCACACAGTAACCATTTGTACAAGGTAACCTTTCCAAAATAAAGTTCCCAAAGATGGTTCGAGAGAATTGGATTGAACAATGGCAACAAGCTTAATAAGAAAAGGAAGGAGAAAGTTGCGAGAAATTATGATACAGATTCACATTCAAAGCCAGTATATAACTAGAGATTAAACATGGAAAGCACAGGGTCGGGCATATTACAAATATGAAAAACCATGAACTAATTAATTACTTCCTCTCTTTCATTTCACTTCTTCGACTTCATCCAATGCGTAGTTGTTGGTAGATACATTAGCATAGTTCACTTTGTTGAACCTCACTACAACTGGGTAGCGTGTGTTCGGATCCTGCGTCCATCACCAAGTTAACATCTTAAACTTTCACACTAACAAAAGACATGGATTCTAATCAAGTTACTTACCTGATCAACAGCTACAACTGAACCAACACCCTTGTACCAGTAAGATTCCTTCCTTAAAACTCTCACCTGTATTTTGTAACAGTTTAGAATACTCTTTGATGAATAGCTGCTATAATTCGTGGTTAAATACAGAAAGAAGTAGATGCAGACACACCCACTGTCTTCAACTTGAATTACCTTATTCACCGTTTCCAAGTCAAATTACATTTATAGAGTTGAACATATATTTATATTAAGCTACAACTTATTGTATAGTAGCCGCAATTGGCCCACAAAATACAGACTGAAAATTTATGAATTCACTTCTTGCTGCTGTACCAGATATGTTATGTTATTGAACTACTCCATCTGTTTCATTCCATATGGTGCTCTATCTTTTTAAATCACTTGAAAGAAAATGAGATCTTCCTATTTATAAACATTGTGACTTTAAACTTTTCCATACTCCTATATCCACACAAATGTTTAAGATCATAATATGTATCAAAGTCATCTTTTTTTCTTAAAGTCCGTGCTCAGTCAAACTGTTACGGGAGTACTTACTTTGGTTCCTCTCTTGGGTCCAATTGGAGGTGGCTTGGCAGCTTTGGCAGGAGGAGCTTCACCTTCAGCAGTGGCGGTAGCAGCTGGCGGCGCAGCCTCTTCCGCGGCCCTAACAACGAGCCTCGGGAAGTTGGTGGTGGTGGTGTTGTTCTTGGAAGAAGAGAAGAATAACATAGAGGTGCGAGGAGCAGTACTGTTAGAGGTGGCAATATTGGGGGTGGACACCATAAAACCGGATGCAGCAGAAGCCATGCTGCTACTTGCCATGTCTTTGTCTCTGCTGCAAAGAAATGATGAAGCAGAAAAATTAATGTATTGGGGCAAAAACACAAGTAGGATTTGAGAGGCTTTGAGTTAATGGGATATCTTTTTCCTGGACTAAAGATCAACTTAGCTACCACACGCCATTGCTCCATCCACTTACGCAATGCCACATGTTACCCATATCCCATTCTTGTGGATAATGTTACCACTTTTATGTCTTCTTTCTCTCATATTTTTCCATATAAAAATCTTTTTTTATTATTGATAGTATAATATTAATATTTTTATGTGATATTGACTATTTTTTGACTAACTTATTGCAAGAGGAAATTACCTTTGATAATATAAAAAATGAATAGTCAATGATATTTGCTTCTTTTAGTTGGAAAACTAATTATATGCATTGATATCTCGTATTATATGACAAACTAGTAATGAAGCATTGACGGATGCATCTTATTCATATTAACACATTTATTTATTCTCAATTAATGTGTTCATTTTCCATTTAAATTGTTTCGAAACAGTGAAAGGGATGTTCACTTCTATTGAATTACAGGATACTGTGAGTAGATGCTTCCTCCAAAAAGGTTTATTCTAGAATGACCAGTACGTGCAGAAGAGCTGCAAAACAGTTCCAAGAGACCACTAATATGCGCAAGAGCTGATAGTTCAAGTATCGACTCAATTGCGCTAGCTGCCCTGATTTCTCACCACACAACTTTATTTATATAGTAATAATAGCTCTATGTTGTAACGATAGTGTTCTGGTCAGTTTGTGCACACCTTTACTATTTCATGAGGTACCTATTACCTCCACCATTTTTGATATTTAGTTACTCTGCCCACCAAGTATTAGGCAGGTGGAAAGAAGTCACTTAGCGTAAGTTTTGTTTATTGGGATTTGCACACGCATAGTAAGTGTATGATGAAATGCAAGCTAGCGAAAGTGTAATCTCAAAACTAAAGGCACTTGCTACATATGCCTACAAAGTAATACCACATTTGGCTATTGTTTATCCTGCAGCCACCAAAATATTTTAAATTTCCATATAGTGAAACACATCCACAACTGATCAATGTGGCAACTGTTGCATATGTTGAACGATAGGAATCTTCACGTCCGTGAGTTAATATATACTATGCATAGTACTTCTTTGACTACCTATTTCCCAATTATGTTTATGGTTCCGGAGGAAGTGTCTCCTACATATTATTACTGCAACTGATATGCCTCAAATTCAGGCTGCTTACCTGCACTAATCAGTAGACTTCGACAATGATCTCTATCATTCTCTGAGATCTAAAACCTTCAAACGTTCTGGTAAATAAATCGAGAGATGGAACTGAAAATCTCTAACTTTGGAGTGAGCCAAATAAATCATGCGTCAGGATTTGGATCTTGCAATTCGTATTGCGTATTATGCGCTTTTCATGAGGCCCTTAGGTCTAACTTTGTCCTTTATATATTAACTATTTATCCGTAAAACGGTACAATTAAATTTGTTATATGGTTTATGGACAAGTGAATTGATTTGACGCAAAATGATAAAGAGATAAGATTAAAATTGAGATTTAATTGAAGAAGATGACAAGCCTGGCTCCGAACCCAACGTCTCCGAGAACACAAATTGAAATAACAACAAAGTGAAAGAAAGTTATTAATTTAAGAGCAAAATAGTAAAATATAGCCTTTTTGTATAGGATGTTTTATGTCCTTACAATGGTTGCTGAGTTTGCTATTTATAGCTTTACCTAGGGAAACAAGATCATACGATCAAGCTCCTCTTAAATGATAATAAAAGAGTCATTGATGAACGCGTAACGACAGACCATGAATGCAAATATTCTCTGCAACGGTCACTCATTTAATGGAGAGGTCATTCATTCCTAGCAAAAAAAGCACTGTTAGTAAATATTCCCCCATTGAATGCTATTCGATGAAAAACCTTGATCTTCTCCCGTCGACTACGCTCCCTTCAAGATTTATCTGATATCGATTAAATTCATTGTATCCGGTATTGGTTATTCTCTGACTTGCCTTTTGCCTATGTTCGATTCCACGTGTTATGTTACCATTCGACCATTCATTATAAATTAATTTTACCCCATACAGATAGTCCCCCTACTTTTCGGTAACATATCTTAGCGTTACCGGAAAGTTGGTGAAGATTCCTTTCTTGGTGGGAAAGTTCCTGAACAGTCTCTGACGCTTGAAAGAAAGCGCATCTTCTCGCATTTAATACCCCGAACACGTGTTGCCCCACGATTCAGAAAATAATTTCACAGGTTTTTGAGGTAATCATGACCACGATTTATGCCGTCGATAACTTCTCCGATGTTCATCATTTTTACTTCTTCACTTTTACAACTTTCATAAGTCTTTCTTCTTCTATGCATTTGCTTGGAAATCTCTCATAACCTTCAATTTTCTCAGCAAGAATCTTACTAACCTTTTATTACCATGGTTTCTTACACTGCTTTCTCCGGCAATATTAGTCTTCTCTTCGGGGGAGGCCCGAAGAAAAATAAGGACAAGAAGGTCGAAGTCGATTCAGAACCTCCCACTGTTAGTACTATCATACCACATCATCTCAGCACCGCGAACGACTTTCAGGAGAAGGCTCCTTCTGTATCTTCACAGATTGGCCAGTCAGTAGGTATCCCTCCTCCATTTGCCCTTCCAGTATCACAACTGTGAATGAGGACTACAACTTCCCCAATCTTAAAATTCTCGCCTCGGATATGATAGAGCGGGTTACCTTTCTCCAAGGAGGGGTTTACGTATGTCTATACGTATCCCTTTACCATGGGTCCATTTTCCTTGGGGTCGAATGAAGGGCTCGACCCAATAACTTTGGAGTTTTGCCACTGATAAATGATCTGCTTAGCACAAGTAGGCCCATCTATATGGTGGACGGTGGCCTACCTTCGCCAACTGTGCACGGAGACCGGGAAAACCTTCCCTTGCACACATAATAAATCTTTACTCTCCCAAAATATTTTGTGGGGGAGTAATAAATTCTAGCAAGCGTGGCCACCATGCTCTCCTCACCATTGTAGACAATGATAGCGATCGTGGATGGATGGTTCAATTCATCGTCATTGCTACCATGGACATTATCCCAACCACAACTCCAACCTTTCCCGAGTCGTGGAATCACTTTCGTAAGTTTTCGGTCATCCACTTCCTTCCTTTGTGAAAAGATTACTTCCCGTTGTTGTTGATTTTCTTGTTTCTTTTGTTTCAGCTACCCCATGAGAACCACCACAGGTTCAAAACCTGGACCAGTGAGTTCAGAAAATTCTGAAATTCACAACTCCAGAATCTCGCCGGTGGAAGAAAATATCTCCCAAATACGGGTGAAAGGCCAAGCACCATGGTAAGTCAAAACACCCTTTCTTTTACCCTAGTTCGAACATAAGAAATCTTCATGAACAAGCTGGTAACTCTATTTTTTTTGCCCATTACAGGACTTCCGAGGGGCTCTATCATCTTCCCCGAAGTCGACGTCTTAGTTGATCCCTAGGGGGCCGGGAGGGTGTTGGAAAATTCCCTTGCATGGAGTAGAGCTCGTGGATCTGCACAAGCCTTCGGTGAGGGTGCCTCCTCTCGGAGTCCCCAGCCTGAGAGCAAGAAATCAAAGAGAAGATGCTCTTCCACGGCTGAGGCTCAAAAGAAGAAATCAAAGAAAATGCCATCCGATCCGATATGGCTATCCAACGGGACGGGACGTCCCGGTCCCGTCCCGCATCCCGTCCCGGTCCCGTCCCGCATCCCGTCCCGGTCCCGTCCCGTCCCACTTAATTTTAAACGGGATGGCCCCATGTTAAACGGGATACGGGATGGCCATTTCGTCCCGTTTATCCCGTCCCATTTCGTCCCGTTTCGTCTCGTCCCGTCCCGCCCGTCCC